TCCCATCCACTGCCTCTAGGGCCAACTGCTCCTCCAGCTGCTCCTCCGCGCTCAGCCCAGTCCTCCCTCAGTCGAAAAAGCACTGCTGAGCGAGGCCAGTTTCAGTCACCCGATGGTTCAAAAAAGGCGCACTCCTTTTTCGTATCATGTGCCTCTACTAATCAGTCAACCTGTTCCTCGAGGATAATGCCTTGGTGTGCTCCTCAGCGCTGAGGTAGTGCGCTGCATGGTTTCCCACCCTTGCAGACCCACTCACCAGCCGCATCCGAAGTGTGTCTACCCAAGCTTGCCAAACTCAAGACACCTCGAAACTCCCAGCTTGAGCCACCCGATGGTTCAACCACGGCGCACTCCGTTTTTCATATCGTTTGTCTTTGCCAGCCCCGGTTTCTCAAGGACAATGCCTTGGTATGCTCCTCAGAGCTGAAGTAGGGCGCTGCATGTTGAAAGTCATGCATCCTGGAATTAAGCCTTTTCAGCTGATAGTGTCGGACCATTTCGGGAAATATGATGCCAAGATTGTCATTGCCTCGAAGTAGTTGCTGAAGGACATGGGATTGCACAGCCGGCTTAGCATTCGGGGCAATCTGCTTGTGCATGAGTAGAGGCGTGTCACCCGCGACCCTCAAGCGCACGTCGTCTTCCCGAAGAGGGCGTGAGCACACTGCTCTGAAAGGATTTTTGTATCCTCTCTGAAAAGGACAACCCTGCTTTTGTTTTGGAGCCAGCCTGAGTAGATTGTGTGGCAAAGGTCATAGCAGCCACCGCAAACCTCGCCGCTTTTCTCCAACGCTGATGATCAGGCGTTCCCCTGATTTTGGAAAGTCTCCAACTCCTCAATCTTCCCGGCCAGGTGCAGACTTGTTAGCCTCCGTCATGATGTTGCAAATCACCACCTCGTAGCTCCTCTGCGTGCTGGATCTCCTTTTCCACATCCTCTTGGCACAGTTGATGCGCAGGATCGTTGGTTGTCGCCAGGAACCTGGCTCTCATCGACCTCCATGACCGGCTCAGTGCTTCGGCTGGCTCAGAAATCCGAGCCACCTTCATTGCCCAGCAGTCGGACCGCCCTCTGAGGGCGATATGCTTCAAGCAAGAGGAGATCAAACCGCTCCTCATTGCTGTGGTAGCGTGCCCAAACAGTTGCGACTCGCGCAATGCCACGGCCCCAACCCGGTCCCCCCTTGGCGAGCAAGCCCTCGGCATGAGCCTTGAAATCGACGTACGCTCCGGTCGCCAGTAGCACCTCGTCAGTGTGCACAGCCAAAATTAGGGCCATGGCGCTGAAGAAAATGAGGTTAACCGGCAAAGATAAATTTGTACCTCAGCCAGTTTGGATCAAGTCCTTGAGCCAAAACGGGTATGCTCAATCGAGAAATGAAGTGTGTCTACCCAAGCCGACCAAACTCGAGACACCTCAAGTAACTAAGTAACACGGCGTTCTATTTTTGTTTGTACTGTTCGTCTGAAAAAGCAGATTCTTTGTGCACACAGTACTTTGGGCAAGTGAACTGACACAATCATGTTGAAGACAAGCCCGCGGAGTGCATAAGCTTCAAGCATGAAAGGGTAGATTGGCCGTCTGCAAATGGGGACACCTGAACCCTGACTGGAACTCAGCCCTTACTCAATGCGACCGGCTTGTGCTAGCCGCTGCGAACCTTGAAGAGGATTTGCCTGCCGAGTCTGCCGCTGACTGCAAAGAATCGCCATAAGCGTGTAGCTGTGTCACGAACTGCAGGGTTCTCGACGGGATATGTTTTCGGATGTGGGCTACTTAGCACCCAAACACACTCTCCTTGAAAGGGTGGCTTTATTTTCGAGCACAAATGAGGGAGACTGTGAAGTGCCCACGCCTGTAAAACCACCCCTGGTCTCGAAACGCACACACGCGGTACAATCATACATACTCTCATTGGGCTTCGCTTGCGCGCTTCACACTGGCTCATGTCATAGCCCCTACGCATCGGTGAAGTTGACATGAGTCAATGCCATGATTCAAAGTTTGCGCTTGAAATTGACCATTGTTTCGTTTCACTTCCATTTGCTTTTTCGGTCCCTGGAAAAATAAAAGGACCCCAGAAGTGATTCCCTTTAAAATCAACTTCCCTTGAAAACCCCCACAAAAGGGGCTTCGATCTCAGCCAAAGCCAAGAGGCTGGGGCTGGCGTGCGGGTGCAGCTGTCGATTCGCGTGCCTGAAGCGTCCGTGGCCAGCAGCCCACAAGACGGGTGTCTCGTGTTTTTCTTCGGGAGAAATCTCTTTCGGTTGGTGTTAAAGGGAAGCCAAAAGAAAAAGCACAACTTGGAATTTATTTTGGTTGGTTTTAAAAGGAAGCACAGCACAATGTTTGGGGGACTCCAACCTTGTTCTTCGAGGGATATTTTTGTTGGTGGGCGTTAAACTCGCTTCCTGAGCGGATTGGCAAAAACAAGTCTGAACTTTAGAACCAGCAAACACGCGAAGGGCCGTGCCTCTCGGCCATGAAACTAGGCCATGGGCCAATTCAGAGTGTCCGCGCCCGCCGGCCGAAGGCGCGAAGAAGCAATTGGTCTGGGGCCCGTCCTGCCGTGCCATTGTTGACATGAGCTGCTCTCAGGACGCAAACATGTCAAGCGCCATGCACAACAGAGTGAAATAACATGGAATCACAGCGCATATGTTTTTTTGTGCGTACGCCCTTGGCCGCACAACATGGCGTATGCAGCACTCTTCCAGTATGCTCTTGAACAATGAACAATTACAATTGCTGGCTCCATATGGTCACGCACCTTCACCTTCACCTTCACCGCACCTGTCTATGGCACACCTGCCTCGCAGCGACAGTATTGGAAGCCTACTTTCCGGATCCGAAGCACTTAACCGCTGGACACTTTTCGATCTTAGCCGAATTTCTCATCCTGCAACTCTTTTGCCACCAGGCACGTGAAGAGGCTTTCTCTCAAGGTGCGGCCTTCGCCCGCCAAGCGGTGAGAGAGGACGCAAATTTGATTTAGATACATAATACATGTAATAATACATGTAATTACATTATTAAGCCACAATTTCGGCTTGAAGGCGAGCTCATACAAACACACCGAAGTGGGACGCCAGGCCTGGCCGGCCCAATGGTCTGCGGCGGGGGCGGTCTTGTCTGCGAAGATGGCCTGGAGTCAACTAGGTAATTACATCTACTTGGTCTCTCTAATTGAAGATGTCGCACTTCCTCAAAGAAGATTATACAGCTTATTTCTGAAAGCAGATGGCTGTGGGTCAAAACCAATGGTACCATTTTGGGGGAGGTACACAACCCATTGTAGTCTATCTGAGTGGGGATTGGGATGTTCACTGGGGGTACGATTTGGGTTTTGACCCATGGCCAGATCTGTCAAAGCTCCATGGATTTCATCCGACGCAAATTTTGCCGCGACCATCCCAGGCCTCACCGTACTGGGCGGCAACGGCCTCACCGTACTTGGGGGCCTTGCAGGCCCCGAAGCATACCTCAGCGACATGCGGTCCTTGTATCACACCTGTGCTCCCGTGTCGCAGGCTGAAAGCTGGTTGATGCTCCACCCGCCGAGCATTCAAAGCTCTCCATTGTCACACGGCCATGAAAGCAAGACACAAGCTTTGCGCAAGGTGCGTTTGCATGGTCGCACGACGTTCAGTTGCCGCGCCGGTCCCATGGCAAGGCCAACAGAAGCTCCATGAGGGAGGTTGTCAACCAGGCTGCCTTGGCTTTGATGGTTGTGCTGCAATGTTCCCTGTGCTTGTGCCACATTCGGCCACTTTTTCACTGGACATCCAGCTTGGAAATTGTTTAACACGCAAACTGGGATGGATGTCTCTACCATCATCTTGCCAAATGTCAAGTAAAGCACGACCAAAAGTTTGCCCACTGACTTTCAATCCAAGCTGGGGGCTAACTAAAAGCATCCCGACCAAAGCTCCAAGGCTTTTGAGCCGTCCACGTCAGTATGGAAGCCACCAATGCAAAGGCATGTCTTAAATTAGCTACTTCTCATGGACATTCTGACGCTTGCGAAAAAACAAAAAAAATGCTGGACATCTCTCTCTCTCTCTCTCTCTTTCTCTTTCACAAACTCAACGGGACGATGCATGTCCGACACAAAAACATGGACTCTCTATCTATTCCGGCTACATTCACGTGAAACCTTTGTTTCAAGTAGCACTGGCGGGCCAGTACGCCACAGGATTTTGCCACTCACCCATCTCAACATTCAAGCCGCTGTGCAAGAACATGTTGACGGCTTTCCCGAAGGGAATTGACAGATTTGAAGAGCTGGATATTACTAGGCTCATGCCTTACAATAGCACCACCGTCATTTCCGTGGGCTTTCCGTTTGGCTTCCATTTCCTTTCGGTGCAAAAGGTACCCTTAAAACACAAAGCGCGCAGTTCGCCCATCGTTTTGCTCGAGGCTCTCAAGGCTGGGAGCCCCAAACAGCGGGCTCCAGCGGTGGAACTTCGCATTTAGGACGTTCGTTCCAAATGTTCAACCCAAAAAATGCAAGGGCCCGATGTACATGACGAAACTCTGTTGTTTAAAATTTCAATCGTGGGTAGATGGTGGTTTGAGTCCCATCCCCCAGTCGTTCTCATCGTCTTGGTCTCATACGTCTTAGGAATTGAGGACGACTCTATTCGGATGCGGCTCTTTTGGTTTGGAGAGGTTCTTGGCAATATGTATGAGTTGCCCTGGCAAGCACCTCCAAACATTCAAAGCATATTGACAGAACGTATGTTCGTTCTGATGATGTACCCCGTACTTTCTTCCCATAAGCAATACCCTTGCTGGGTACGGCCTCTAACTTGAGCTTTGATCTGAATTGAGACTTGCAGCTTCTTGCTGCGCGCAGAGATTAGCCTGCGGCATCTCAACCAGGATGAGGTGAAACCGACTCGCAGAGCTTTGAAACTTGGGCAAGCAGTAGCAAGTGAACACGTCAGGTGTTGCATAAACACGTACAGAGAGTATCAAACACCAACACGTTCTCGCATAACAAATTGAACTGCAGCCCAAGCTCAGTTGCTTGCGCCTCTTGCGCTCTAGTCTTTCATTACGCTTTCGTTTCCAGGCCGATCTCAGGCCTCGCCTTTCTCTTCCAAGGCGATCTCAGGCCTCGCGCTACCATATGCCATCACTTCGTTTGGTCATCCATTTCAAAGGGGGCCTCAAGATCAGTCGCTGGCAAAACATGGCTGCCAGCTAAAAGGAGCAAGCCGTTGACGTGGTTGGAGGCCCTGTATTTTTGGAGATTTGCAGAACATGTGATGAAGTACCTCCTTTTAGTTGAAAACGGATGTGCAGATGGAAAAACTATGCTCCTGAATAAAATCCGAACAATGAGTTCCAAGAAGCACTTGCGATTCCAGTCGCAGATTGGTAAATCACCGGACGGGCTTTCCCTTCCCAACTTGCGGAAACAAAATCCATCCGAACCCCCTGCCTTCTTTTACACGCTTGCGGAAACAGCCCTCTCCAGTCAGTCGGGTCTTGGCATCCTCATTGACAGCGCCAACAGTTGCCGTCTTGGCCAGGGGAATTGTCCATGAGAGGGATTCTTGGAAACATGGAAATTTGAATAAAGTGAAACATGACTGTTCGAACGGCCCGCACACACACACACACACAGACGCACTCAGACACAGACACGCACACACACACACACACACACACACACACACACACACACACACACACACACACACACACACACACACACACACACACACACACACACACACACACACACACACACACACACACACACACCCACACCCACACCCACACCCACACCCACACCCACACCCACACCCACACCCACACCCACACCCACGCCCACGCCCACGCCCACGCCCACGCCCACGCCCACGCCCACGCGCACACGCACACGCACACGCACACGCACACGCACACGCACACGCACACGCACACGCACACGCACACGCACACGCACACGCACACGCACACGCACACGCACACGCACACGCACACGCACACGCACACGCACACGCACACGCACACCCACACACACACACACACACACACACACACACACACACACACACACACACACACGACCGCACGCCCGCACGCCCGCACGCCCGCAAGCCCGCACGCCCGCTCGACCGCACACGTACACGCACACCCACACACGCACGCACTCACACACTCACGCACCAACCCACGCGCACGCGCACATGCACGGGCACACGCACACTCCCACACACAAACAAAGAAACACACACACACACAAGCACACAAATCAGCTCTGAGCGCTACAAAACACAGTAGTCTCAGTGACATTTGACTGCTTTTCGGCCATGAATGCAGCAGCATGCAAACACACGCAATGCGAATCGTAGTTTCTGAACCTTTTGCTCTCCAGCAAACCTTGGTCTGCTATGGGTGTGTCTTGAAATAGGGCCCCAACAAAATGATAGTAATTGCGTTAGTTTCTCCATTCCTTTCTATCCAAAAGGGGTACCGAGTCTCAAAAAAGACACACCCATATTCTCCGAGCTGAAGGTGTCCGAACTGATCCGCAAGGAGCCGCATGGCGTTCACGGTAGGAACAAGCTCCAGATCAAGTAGGCAACACGTCAGCTACCATGTCCAGTATGGAAATTCCGAACAACAATTCGCGGAAATTCAACCGAGGAAATCCAACATCCCGAAAAACGTCAAGATGGTTCCTTGCTTAGAACAAACAACATCCTAAAGGTTCCAATCACATGTTTAGCTCAGCTATGGTTGCTCACATGTGTTGTTTCATCGATATTGTTGTTTATTGAGATGTTTGGAACTCGGGAATCCCTGAGTTGCTCTTGAGTTTGGGGTTGCCGTGGTTTGTTCACTGTTTTGGTCTTTGCATGTCCCAACACAAAGGTGTGTGAAATGATACCGTTGACCTTCTCAAGGGTGTGGCAAACTGTGGCGTTGCTTTGAATATACAATTGGACCATTGTACGTCCCCGTGCTGGTAGGACATATTTACGGGGCCCAAAAGCTTTTGCTCCCAGCGCCTCCGCTCGTCCTCGCCGGGTCCCTGAAGGTTGGCGAGTCGTCAAGCAAAGTCTATCACAGCGGGAAGAAATCCTGCACCACTTCGAAACCAAAGAAAACCATTGTTTGTTGGTATTTACAGGGGAATCATCATTTCAGGGTTTCTGAGTTCACGAGACAGGCCCCGCTCAGGGTCAATTATGGACTGGACTGCCAGCCATTCAATCATTGAGTCAAGATTCCAGTAGTCTACGGTCAATTTGGGGCGAATCACTGCTTGCACGATTAAGTCTCCACAAAGTAATGAAACTCACTAAATTTATCATGACTGTTTTGGAATGTCGCTTACTTAGTTCACAGCATAGCAACTTCCTTCTTGTTTCAATGCTGTTCGGCCGGGGTGGGCCTTTCATGTCGAACATCGTGCAACCCTCGAGCTTTGTCGACGGAGTTGTGACACGGTCCCACGTCTTGCATGCAGCAACATGGTGCGCCAAACTATTGAAGTGTTGCTTGTCAACCAGAAACATGGCTGAGCTACTTTACTCAGACACTTCAAACTTGTTCGGGTCCACCGCATCTCATCACCAGAAGAGTTCATCCTGGATGCCCACTGTGCTTTCTCCCAATGCAGCCACATGGCGATCTTGATGACGTTTACAAAGTTGATCAATAGAATACGTCTAAACAGACAAACATACAAAGATAGAGACACGCACACACACACACACAAACACTGGCACCTCTGGCTTGGTCCCCTCCCTCTCGCGCAGTCCAGATTCACCCAATCACTCCCCTCCCCACCGAAGAAAACCAAAAGCGGAGAACAAAAACCGGGAGTTGTGTGTCTGCAATTCCATTTTCCAAATTTTCCAGGAGTAGGAACCACTACTAACCTATATTCAAATGTCGAATTCCAGGGGTTGAACCATAAAAATCGACACATCATGTGTAGAGAAATTACGAACCTTTAATGGTGTTTGGTTCCTTTTTTTCTCATGAAGCAAGACTAGGTCTTGGATTCCTTCGTAGAATCCGGTTTTTTGACATCCCCAACTCCATCTTTGCCCCCCCCTCCCCGTCCCCCACTGTCCGGCGCCTTTGTGAGCCCAAGTTCCTGGTGGACGATTTGTGGGCGTCGTTTTTTGAGCTGGTAGCTCTCTTAACTCGTGGTTTTGACGGGAGACCTGGAGGAAAACAGCACCATTTTGGGGGATCCAACTCAGCACATAAGTGGCTCCAGCACGTCCCAAAAAGACAACAAACTTGTGCTGTTGAAAAGGTAGATGGCACAATTTACCAATGAGCTCCGGGCCGTCCACTCCCAGGTTTGGAGGGTTACAAACAGCTTTGAGCGACAAAGAGAGACGGCACGACTGTGTGCTGCAAAAAGCAATGCTACTTTTTACACCGCCCACAAAGCTTGCCTTAGTATCTAAGCAAGGGAAAAGGAGGGTCTGAATTGGGGCAACTTCCTCAGAGATGATAGAAGGGCCTGAAAACATAGCCGTGATTACAAGACTGAACTATTGATTTGCTTGTACCTTTTTAGCCCCTGCTTTTGTTGGATTGGTGACCGGTGTTTCAGGCTGCACTTCTCAGCATCCAATGAGCCTCCACGAACAGAACGTTAGTTTATTCCATTTGCTCAAGCCTGCAGGAAAAAACGACCAAATATTTCCAGTAGTGATAGCTTCCATTTAAAAAACCAGCAGGATAAACAATCTTAACCACACGAAAGGTTTCAGCAAGCCAAACATGGATTTGTGATGACTTCTGTCTTCGGACTCCTCCGCTTCCATGCCTTCGATGGCAAAGCGATTCCTGCGACGCTCGAAATCCGAAATGGGCCGCTGTGCCCGCGCTTTCAACGCGGGGGTTCTTGCAGAAAACTGCACCCCGTTTCCCAGCAAAACTGGTGCTGAAAGGGATGTAGTTTTACAGCTCCAATGCTTGCAAAGCAATGTAAACACCATGCTTTTCCCAGTGGGGGCAAGTGGCGGCGTTGCACTTTAATGCCCTCCTTACCAGTACTGAAGGAGCATTCCCAATCGACCCCTGGTATGCCACAAATGCTGTTGCTTGGCAGCCGCCTCTAAACATGCAAAGATCCAACGAATCCAAAACTAACAAAGGGTGCACATACCTTCTGCCAAAAAACACTCAGCTTCCCAAACCCACTGTGGCCACAGGCGCCAACCCCCTTGCCCCGCAACCCCCAAGTTAAACGCGCCCTCTTTTTGACAACATTGAGGTTGCGGGGCTAGGGGTGGGTGGAGAAGATGGTTGGTTTGCAGAACCCGGTAGCTGAAATCGGGCATACCTAGGACTCAAAGAAACCCATGTTGTGCAGATGTTTGCCTGGACTGATTTGAGATGGCGCAGCAGGCGTGACATCCATGGGGTTCCTCCAAAGATGTGAAACATCAAAGTTAAGCTCCCCTTTACAACTTTCAGCGGTCCGAACAGGGACCCCCCACAGATTACTCGCTTTTGGCTTCCGTTCCAATTCAATCCTCAAGAATTGACCCATACAGCAGCTGGTTGCGCACATATTGCAGGCAAACCCCTGTCATGCTCTCTAGATTCCTCCTCACAAACCGGCGCGTTCGGATTCCCCCAAGCTGCTTGACGTATGACACTTTTCGGACCCCGGCGACATGGTAGGAGCGATTTGTCAGCTGGGAGAAAAATGCCCACATTTACAGCCTGACAGAAAGAACAAGCACAAACAACTTCTCAACAACCTTGTCTGTTGACATGTCCCAACACCCTCTCCGACCAAATCCCGTAAGAAAGGAACTCGCTTCTGGGCCCGCACTCTAGGCCCAGTGTGTGCGCGTAAGTTTAAATAGGGGACCCGAGTCGGTGGACATCATTCAGAACTCTTCTGAAAGAGGAAAATGCGGGCTGATCTGGCTATGCTTCCCAATGGGGAACCAGGTGGTTGGACACGAGCCCCCACCGAATTCTCAATGTCCACCGGTCATTTGGGTGTGCCATTGATTGAACATACCCCTCTTCGGGTGGCTTTGATTGGCAACCAAAAGGAAACCAACATTGTTCGGGTACTGTGGATGGACGAAATCTGTGCGCACCACGCAGTGAAACCATGGCTGCAACCACACCGTTTATTGGTATTTACGTTGGGGAATCGAATCAGACACCAGGGTTGCTTACTTAGATGCTGCGAAATGCATGTCGCAGCCATCCACCATCTTCTAAGACATCCATGACATCCAAAAAACAAGCAAACAACAACAAACTCACATAAAACCAAAAACACATGCGCTTCAGGTCCATTAAACAACACGTGCATCTCAGGTCCACAACACTTCAAAAAATAAGAAAAGCTGCGCCATCCAAGACTCCTCCAGGAGCCCTTGTAGATCAGCCACGTGGACATCGCAGGAAAGCCTCCCATCGCGCGAGCGCGCGGGGCGCGCAAAAAGAAAGAAAGAAGCCGACCCCGCTTTGGATACCTGGAAACGCCTTCCGGTCATAAATTTCAGCCGCAGACTCAAAACGGCCGCCTTGTTGCGTAAATCGGGATCTCCCAAAATCGTGCGGCGTGTTTTGCTTTTCGGCCTGCAACACGGCTAAAATGTTGGCCGGACAGAGGTTCCAGGTATATATATATATATGTATATGTATAGAAACCCAGTGTTTTGGTGAACATATGCCAATTCAAGGGGAAACCACGAGTAACAAAGAAGAACGAAATGAAAGGCCAGCAATTTAGGGCTCCTCTTTTAGAGGTCTAACTTTCTAACCAACCCTTGATTTTGTCACCAAACGTTGTTGGGTCGCTTATTTGGGGAAACACCCCACCCCCTGCATGTTCAATCACGCGGAACAGCCCATGATGGAATCCGTCGTGCGAACCACCAAATCGACACTGAACCCCCGCAAGCTTGGCTCATTGTTGTAAAACAACAACACTGACATTTGCACACCTATAGGTGTAAAAAAAGAAGCACCTGCCAACATCCCCACGTTTCTTGGGCCTCATAATTTCACCCGCCCCGCGGGTAGCAACGAGTTGCGGCACCTTGGAAGGCCGCGGAGTGCTGCACTGAGCATTGCTCGTTGTCCTAGCGGGAGACGTGCGGGAGATGTGGTGCCATCTGGCTGTGGGTCAAAAGCCCGCGCCAGTGAACATCCCAATGCCCACTAAAATAGGTTCAAAAATGGGTGGTGCAACTCCCACAGCCATCTCAGCTTCACCTTCCCAGCCCAAAGAGAAACCAGAAGGTTTCAACCGCCATTTTCGGAGGTGCAACCTTAAAAAAGACGCACCCATTCATTCAGGTTCCCAACTGCTGGTTTGGAGCCCGGTGAAAACCGTGGTGAAATAGCGGGGACTAAGAAAACCAAAATAAGCAAAAGCCATGTATCAAATATGGGCCATTTTGGTCCCCTTACGCTCCCAACAAGTGGAAGCTGACCATCGGGTTTTGGAAGACGAACGACCATGAGATAGGGATCTCAAGGCGTTCGCTCTGCCACCTCCAGCCCTACCTGCAAGTTCGCCGAAGCCGGGGTTCCCTACGCTTCCTCCTTTGCTGGCTTCTGAACATCACCTTTTGGGCCAGCTTAAAAATGAGTATCCGTCTGGTGGGGTAGTGTTGCAAGGGTACATTTACATTTTGCTGGATGTACTGTACCACTTAAACATCACCCAACCAAAATGAACCCCACTGCGCGCCAACCTGAAAGATGATGACTGGTCTCGCTTTGCCAGGGCTTCCCAGGGCTTGGCCCAAACGGACCTCTACTCAACGCCTCAATGCTGGCGTCTTGCCTAGCTAGCTCTGGGCAAGGACTGCAGACCAGACCATCTGCTAGGCAGTGCCAAATGAAGTGACATGGTGGTGGATCAATATTTCATTTAGGGCCCCGAAATGACCACTGCTAACTTGTCCTATGTAAAGGACATGTTGATCAACCCCCACACATCCCCATGGGTTGAAACAGCCCAAAGGCAGAGACAAACTCCGGGCCGCCGGGCCAACCAGTTGGTCTCCGCCTTCTTTTCGACGAGGTACTTCACCACGTCGTGGCGGCCACCGTCCACCTGAGCGCCCGGAGCCGGGCGACGACTTTCAGCGAGCGGGCGTCCGCAACGGCAAGGAACAAAGCCACGGAAGTGTTCCGACCTCTGATTCCTTGGCTACAACGTGAACTCCCCTGGTCAGGGCGTTCATCATTCCCGGGGCCTATAGAGATACAAGATAGCTTGGCTCCGCCTGACCCTCCGCCATCCTCCTGGGCGCCTGGCTGCCCGGAAAAGAGGCGTTTGCCCAAACTTGTCCACCACATTGATCGGCGCTCCCCTGACGGAAGCACACCAAAGCTCAAATATATACCGTGAACAACTAGCAATCAATTTCCAGCTATCGTGGGCAGTGGCCTCATTCTTGTGGTTGGATTCCTTCCCCCCTGTGATAAGTGACTGAGGGATTGCCAGGGCTTCGACAGCACACCGAACAAAATGCCGATATGAAATTACAATTTGGGGTCCCAAGGGTCGCAAGCTAAAACCCTTCATGTCGCTTTGGTTTGCTCAGACTGCGTACTCTGGTAGCTGGCGACAGCCAGCGCTTTCCTCAAGCACCTCACCCAGTTCGGCGCTACCTGTGTGGGCAAAGCATCGACAAGCACACAAACAGACACCCACACAGACACAATCACAGAGACACATACGCACAGAGACCCGCACACACACACAGACACACAAACACACAGAGACCCGCACACACACAGACACAAACACACACACACACAGAGAGAGAGAGAGAGACACGCACAGATACACACACACACAGACACAGGCAGACCCCCCACGCACATTAACACACACAGCAGACACACACACACACACACTTGGAGTACCTGGTTCTTGGGCATGTTATGTTGCGGCCACTGTTGTCTTCAAATCTGAGCTCGCCACTTTGATAGCCGCGGATATCACAAAGGGAGACCGGGAGGCTTGCGTGTCGAAAGCTCAAGACAAACGTTCATCAAAGTCGCGTGCGCAATTCTGCCTGCGCCAATCCAAATATCCCAAACGCGCGAGACAAAGTGCACCGTGGAGAATGGAAACGACTGCTCAATTTGCGCACCCGCCAGCTGCCACAGCAATGGCCATGCGCAGTCCCACATGCAGGTAAACAAACTGGCGTCACAGGCACTGTGTAAGAGTCTTCGTTGGCTCTCGTCTAACACAGGCCTCGAATACCCTGCATTGTAAGAAAAGACCTGCAAAAAGTGGCCATGCATCAAACTTGCAACGTCTGGGGGAAATGTGAAGATCCCACGTCATCACTCGCAATGTCTGCGGGTGTAGCTGTTAATTCGCTTTGGGAAAGAACAACTCAGCAATCCTGCGAAGTCGTGGCAAACGTTCCCTTGAAAACAGGGTGTAGCAGACACACAGATAAAAACACAGACGCGCATACATAGACACACACACACAGACAAACAGACAAACACACACACAAAAACAAAAATACAAAGACACATACACAGAGACACACACAGAGAGACAGACACACAGACAAACAAACAAAACACACACAAACACAGAGAGACGTGCAGACAGACACACACACACAGAGAGAGAGACAGACACACACACACACACATAGACTCAGAGACACAGAGACACACACACACACACAAACGGACTGACAGACGGACAGACAGAAAGAGTCCAGACAGAGACAATCACAGCCAGACACACAGACACAAACAGAACAGCTACACACACAGAGACACAGGCACACTGACACATGGACACACAGACACACCAACACACACACACAAACGCACTCATAGAGAAACACACAAAGACACAAATACACATATAGACACACACACACCCACCCAGACACAGACAGACATATAGACACACACACACACCCACAGACACAGAGAGACACCCACACACACACACACACAAATACACAGGAACACACTCACACAAAGATACACACAGACACAGACACATACACACACAGACGCACAAGCGGACAAACACACACACACACACTCAGACACACACACACACAGAGAGACACAGAGAGACACACAGAGACACGCACACACAGACACACACACACACACACATAAACACACACACACACATAGACACACACACAAAGAGACACAAACAAACACGCACACAAACACACGGACACAGGCACACATTAGACACACACACACTGAGACACACACACACACAGAGAGACACACACACACACACTCACTTACACACAGGTGCACACAGAGAGACACACACACACACAGACACGAATGCGTGTAATAAAACAAACATGACCTCGCAGCGAGTTGTGCCGTTCAAACAGTGCTCTGAGGCTCCCGCTTTTCTACAAAGTATTCCACAAGGTTCAAGTGGCCGTAGTATGCGGCCTCTGTGCGCCGTACAGAAAGCTCGATGCACAAATGCACAGCGTAGCATATCCAAAGGAAAGGTTGTGTTGTGAAACACAGGTATGCGCAAACTTGTTGGCTCAACTGGTCCAGAAGAGTATTTGCCGGAAGTTAGTTTCTCCTCCCCTCCTCCTCCTGCTCCTCCTCCTCCTCTTCTCTCCTTGTCATCACCATCACTTCATTGCCTAAACTCCTCTGCGGCTGACAAAGCAGACATATGTTCAATCATATCCTTCTCTTAATACCCACAACAGAACAAGTCTTGAAGCAGTCTTTGGCCCCACAGAAAAAGGCCACCGCCACGAATCTCGCGGGACCTGCAGGTCCCTGTACTTCCCCTTTACACATCACCCTCAAGGAAACTTGCTAACTGGCCCAACCGGTGGCGCTTAAACCCATGGGGAAACACAGGGAACTCCGATGCAAACGGGTCTCCGTGCCTCATGCAGCGGCGTTCTATCTTGGTAGTCCTGCAAAGCCACCCCAAATTGCACAGCGCACACACATCCGCTTGCCTCGAGGAAGCAAATGACTACGGGCAACACATGCCTGACTAAACATGACTCACTCAGCCCGCTCCAAAACGGGTGGATTGCATGGAGTGGCTTCCTGTGGCACTGCCCTTCAAAGGTCGCGCCTTAAGCCCAAGCCCAAATTCTCAAGTAGCCCTCGACCACCCCCCCAGCCGCTTCAAACCATACTCTAAGAGGCCGTATATATGTGTCTTTATTTGTCAACCTCAAACCAACAGCCATCCTAACATCGCTCAACCTACCCTGACCCGCTCAACCTACCCTGACCCCCTCCTTTCACTATCCCCAACCAACTCACAAACAACTCGAACTCAATTGCTCCCACCGGTGGCTAAAAACAAGTGCCCAAAATGGCGTGCCCCGGTAAATGGAACCAAACACTCTAACCTGCGGTTTGCCCCAGGTCTTGCATTTTGAGCCACACCCACCTGATGCTGAGCCACAGCCCCTGTGGCGGCGGCGCATGTTTTGTCATACCCCGGTCCTTGAAGTCGATGGTCGCTCCTTTCTCCACGAAGGCCTTCACGATGATCTGAGGAGTCGAATCCAGCATCGGGGCTGTCAACTACTCGGAATCGGATGGCTGGGAGCCAAGGCATGTGCTTCTCAAACTTGGGGAGCTCTATTTGGAAAAACATTCTTCAAATCTGTGAGGCTTTGGTTTCCTGCGAAGGGTTCCGTGCAAAGCGGATCGCGCAGAGTTTCGCTCGGCCTCGTGGTTTCGCCAGGTCGCTTCCCAAAGAGCAGACCTCAGATTCGCACTCGGGAAATTTCACATTGGCAGTGGGTCGAGCACGGAAACATCCCAATTGGGGAAGCTTCGTGTTGCTAGGAAACGCAAAAGGAAACCCAGGTTCGAAGGGCTCGGTAGCACACACCCATTTTGCTGAGGCTTCTGGCAAGCCGCCCAAAACTACCTGATCTGGCGTCTCAGCATCAGACCGGTAGTATGGCCTCTCGCAATAGTCAAGGTCGATGTGCATCTTGACTGCCTCAAGCAGTCAGAGGAAACCTTCAGGGCCTCCCCGGTTCTGTGAGGCTTTCTGGGCAGGGGGGGTTATGACTAAGGGCAAGATACAAGTCGACTCCATGTCGATCACCCGTCTCGCTTTCAACCTAAGGACACGGCAATCCAACAGAAACGGTTTAGCTTCCAGGCGAAACGCTCGGCGAACCACTTGGATGGCTAACCTAAGGCTCCATTGTTACAGATTGCATGATGGATTTCACATTTTGCACATTGGGTCCTTTGGCCCCCTAATATTGACTAGGCATGCGGCAAAGCCAATTTAAAAACTAATGTCGTCCTTGTTCCAGGTGCTTATCATGCTGGCCTAACAAGCTGAAGGGAGCCTACAACAATTGAAAGGCACGCGACTCTACCCAGGAAGTCATGTCTGAACGCCCTCGCAGCAGCCAAATGGCAACAGCTCCTTTGCGACAGGGGTTGAAGCATCCTCAGCATGCCTGGCAACTGATTTGTCAACCCGAGAACTGCGGCACGAGTGGACAAATTCCCATCCTTGGGGATGTTTGGAAAATAAGTATATATCAACAAGTATCCGTGTCTTGTTGGTTTCATTTGGTGAAATCAACTTTCGAATAAGGGACAATGGAAGTGGGCGTTTTGGGGCTTCCCCACAAGGACAGCTGTCGTCTTCCAAAACCCTCCGATTGTCAGCTTACAATGAGTATTTGCGTTTTGGTGATGCACCCGTTCATGCCTTTTTTGGGGAGGGGGGGACCTTTTTTCTCGCAGCGTTTAGGTAACCAAGCACCCATCTAGCTTGCTTCTCTCAGAAGCACAGCAAAACAGGGCACTCACAGGAAAACGAGTGCCACTGGGACAACGGTTCTCCCGTGGCGAATCCCTCCCTTCCTGGGTGGTTGGGCCAAAAAACAGTCATCAAACTTTTGGTTTGCCACTAAAACGGCTCTTCCCAAAACGTGACCCACGTCCGAGAAAAACAAAAAGGAACTCCTGGAGTGAGATCCCCCTGCCCCGCGCCCCGCCCCGAGACGGTCGGTCCAATGGTTTCCCCGGCCTCGGAGAGCTGCTGCTTCAGCCCGGCGTCGCCTTCCCAGCGGCCCTTGCGCGCCAAGGTGATCATGGTCCTGCCCGGGGTCCGGGATGAAACGAGTCTCAACCCGGATCCAGCCATGGATTCTGATCATTTCGCTTCGGGATCCTGAGCCTAAAACCCAGGTTTCAACCTCTGGCCATGGCCAAATGGCGCCAAAGAGCTAGAAACGAGCTTGGCCTCCAAATGGCTTCAACCGTCTAGCCATGGATTCTGATCATCATTTCGTTTTGGATGAGGCTGTGGCGCCGCACAAACGAGGTTTCGCTAAAATGGGGTTCCCTTTGGTTTCAATTTGTGCAAACCAAAGGGGGTAAACAACTGAAGGGGAAGCCGTGGTAGTACACTTTTTTGGTGCTTTTTTTTTTGGGGGGGGGGTGTCTAAAGAAAGGGTTCGTTTTGAGGCAGGTCACGTTTAGGCATGTGTTGACGCCAGCATCTGGATCAAGACTTGCTGGCAGCAGCCGCGCTTTGTGGAATGACAAGGGGCTCCGGACAAACGAGTTGGGTTTGGCTTCAAATGGTTTTCCTTTGGTTTCCCAAAACCATTTGGGGTAAAGAAAGCTTCCTTTTGAGGCAGGTTGGCTTAGGCGTGAGTGGCCAAACACGTCACCCGGGTTTTGACGCCAGTCTGCTGCTGGGCTCATAGAGGAGACTCGGAATCGGCTTGAGGTCCAGAAAAACTGCCGGAAGGAACCTCCAACGTGCTCTCTTTTTGTATGTTTGCTTGTACACAAAATACGTGGCTCAAAGGTAAGGAATCTGAGTGGTATTCAGGTACCGGCTAGATCTAGCAAACGACTGAATGTATCACATGTGGCAAACAACAACTAAAGCCTGAACCATGATTAAGCGCATAGCAATCTCCCTTCAAATAAAATCAAAGCAGTGGATGACACATACGCGAATCCACGAGAACTGCTAGCAGGTGAGTTCATCAACACTGGGCAACAAGCAAAAAAATCCTCTGACAAGTGGGACATGAATCATTTCAGGCAGTCTGCTCACTTGAGCCACAATCAAAAACCGCTCAAGGAGGCGACACGTCGTAAGAATCACCAAGGCGGAAAAGCCAAACAAACTCGTGGGGGGGGGGGGTTAGCCCTCACTGATTTTCATCTATTTGGTGTTGATAGTGCTCACACCGAGCTATTCCAGCACCAACTCAGCCTGCGACACAGCTTTAGTTTAAAGCTTGACATGCTCGCAGACCATGTGCGACGGGGCAGGGGGCCATCGCCACTCCTCTCGCCAAATTACTCTGTAATTAATTGTCCAAACTGGAAAGGCCATGCACAGTGCACGACCTTCATGATGGGTGAGCTTGTGTTGCCCCTCGAGCTCATCAGAATTGGCCCGAATCCTGCTTTTTGGGTTCAGCAACGCCTTTGCCTCTGGTCGGAACGTTTCTGGTGTTGAGATGTGTTGAGAAGGCTTTGTGGCTTACTCGCGCGAGCTTCGCTCAAAGGACCAGAAAACCGAGATCATGCTCGGGGCCAAGAGGCCAAACCCCTAATAAACAACCAAAGCAAGGGAGCGCAGGTATGGGACATCGGGCCAAGAGGAGCCTCGGGCAAGGGCTTGTCCTGTACCTGAAACGTGGCCAGCTTTGATTTACTGCACACGGGGGGTGTCGCTTCTTAGAGGGCAAGCCCTTTTGCTTGGCTTTAAAGGGAAACCAAAAAGTGACCACCACCATTTTGAAAGGTCCAACCTCAAAAAAGACATTCCCCAAAGCTCCGTCCTGCTCACTTCCTTGGTTCCGCCAGCCGCCATGTCGACACTAGCGCTCAGGCTGGCGATCGGAAAAAAAACACGTCCCTACACTGAAGCCACGGCGAAATGGGCGGGGCGCAATGAACCGAGAGGATAAATCTTCCCGCACAAGCCATGTATGGATTCCCCACATTTACACTCCAAATGGTTGATGTATATATATATATATGCATGCATGGATTGCGGGGTTGATTCAAAGGTCCCATGAACATGGAATGACCATTGGACAAAACCACTAAAAAATATATGATATTTTCCACATGGGAAAAGTTGTCCATGGTGATTTGGTTTAAATGGAATATTGATCAGCCACCATATATTGCCCCATTGAACACGAGCCCAACTAAAGGAACTCCAAAAGGTGCTTCAGTCCACTAAGACTTGCTGGTGCGATAGGTAGGGAATGAGGGAATGAACCTGGAAATTCCCTGAAATGAAACCACCAGTTGGATGGTTTATAGGGGTCATTCCCTCATGCCCTGCCGTGCACCAGCAAGAAAATGGGACATCGGTTTCTGTCTCACACTGCCTCTAGAAAATACCCGCGGCTCCCTCCTTTGCTCTGTTCACCAACACACAAGCACGACGAAGAAGAAACAAGGACAATACCGGGCTGTCCGTTTTGAGATCCCCCGCTAAAAGTGAATAACTTTTAGTGGGTTCAATGGAAATCCAACCGCTAAACACTAAAAGGCTAAACAGCTAAGGAACCAATCGCACTTCAATGCAGGGGCTCCAAGTATGGCTGCAGCTTGCCCGATGTGGATGGCCACACAGAGCCCGATGCGCGCGTTACGTTTTCTCGCGAATTGCCATCCTGGCTTGGGCTGAGACTGGCTCATACCTTCCGAAAGCTGGCCCAACTAAACAGCATGGTAGGGCATGACCATTTCTGCTGGCTATATTGGAAGCCATCTCGCAGTTGCTTTGTGTTCCATTGTGCAACAATTGGATGCCCCCCCCCCCCGCGGTGGAACATGTAAGGGTCCCCTGGTTTGAAAACAGAAGGACACCAAAAATTCCCTGCCGTTGAACAACCGCGGGAAAAACACCTCAAGCCCCAGCTTGCACGAGTCTGACCCAGCCCAGAGAACGTCGGCTCAGTAGTTCTTGTTCACCGAGTGCATGAGCAAAGGCTCAAGG